CACACTCGTGTAAAATCACAAACTTAAACAGAAAACTGTAAAACGTAACTCAATAGAAATATTATATTACGTGCAGAGCTTCCTCATTAGTGTGAAATTATTTTTGAGACTAAATAACCAACAACATACTTAATATTTATTTGCAACATTCAAGTATTAAGTCTGTGAGCTCATAACGCTAAAAATCAAGATGGAGCACAGATAGTCAATTGTGTAGCTTTGCGCTTAACAACGAACAAACAGTATTCAGTTTTTGCCTAGTTTCTGTGATATTCGCTTACAGTTTGTGAACAAATCGAAAATATGTTACCATAATTTACACTTCCATTAATGTTGTTATTTTTATATCGTGTTTAAATCTGGACACAGTATTAAGCAGTTAAGCATAACAACCGTGCAGAGTTTAGGATGACAACTATTTTTATTTACAGGTCTAGAATGTTTCAGAAAATACTTACAGCCATCATTATAAATTCTGAAAAAGGTGTATAAATACAGATTATTATGATAAATAAACAAACTTTTAAACTAACATCACTCGTGCGTTTCTTAATAACAAATTTCAGCCTCATATCAAACCATGAGCTATCCATAACTTTTAACTTATTACGTCTATTTTTTATGGGTTTTCAATAGTTAGAGGAGCGATAAATTTTTTTCAGTGCTGATCCCATTTCAGACTTCCCGAATCTATGCAACCCTATCTGTTCGAAACCCTTTTTTAACCGGACCATTCAGTTTTGTTTGTTTATTTGTTTACTACACGTGATTTCTTTATCTGACATACCCATGACCCTACCAGGGCCTGCTGCGACCCAGATTTGGGACCCACTGAACTTATAGATTAAAAAAAAAGAAAAGAGAGATCTGCAGATTTTGTTTGTTTGTTATTAAGCACAAAACTACACAATGGGCTATCTGCCCACTACGGAGGGGGGCGAGATCTCCAGATAGGTAAAACACTTCTACCCCATATATTTAACTCAGGCTTAACTCTAGACTTTTATAGTTTCCAAATTAAACATTTTGTTCAATACAAAAACTGACTATCGATATTCTTTATTTCAAGGCAGCTATACAAATACAAGTGTCGTTATCTTAAAGTCACTTGCACAAGTAAACCAGGAAGGATCTAGTTTAAAAAAAACCGTTATCTCATTAAACTGTATAAATCATCAGCACGGTCACATGAAGAAGTCGTCAACTGTGCTGTCGTAACTGGATTAACAGTCCTTGAACTTCTTATAAACAGAATCTTCAATCGCAAAAAAACAACAATAACAAAAAAAAAACCTCCGACCACAAAGTTTATAATACTTATTAGGAAAAAATATATATATCTTGAATTTCAATTAGATTTTAATTTCTGTTCCTGAATTTTTTTATAATTTCTAAAACGTTTGTTCTGTTGGTTTGTTTGTAGTTAAGCACAAAGCTACACAAAGGGCTATCTGTGCTCTGCCCACCACGGGTATCGAAACCCGGTTTCTAGCGTTGTAAGTCCGCATACATACCACTGTGCCATTGGGGGGCTGTTCTGTTGGAATATTATAAATGTATTACATATGAATATGCGTTTGTCCACTTTTTCTAATTGCTCAGCAGACTTTACAGACTTCACAGGAGGAGGTTGATTCATGGTGTGTAACTTCTGAAAATCTGCCCGAAAAAGGTTGAATCTGGACAACGTTTCGGCACTTTCGTGGCTGTCTTCGTCATATCGTAAAACTCAGTCTGTCTGTTACCATGGTAAAATATAAAATATGCGTAATTCTTCTCTTAAGGAAATTGAAATCCGTTTAGTTGTTTCCATGGTAAAATAAACGTAGTCGTTACCTCAATAACAACAACAAAAAGAAAACTGGTTTCCTCTCAATAACATAAAGAACCTTCGGGTTATTACTTCAGTAAAATAAAAATCCGTTTAGTTGTTTCCATGGTAAAATAAACGTAGTCGTTACCTCAATAACAACAACAAAGAGAAAACTGGTTTCCTCTCAATAACATAAAGAACCTTCGGGTTATTACTTCAGTAAAATAAAAATCCGTTTAGTTGTTACTTACGTAAAACAAAGTTTATTCTCATTGTTAAAAATGCCAATGCTATGGTAAGATTTTGCTTCATACATTTAGTTTCGAAACTTGGATGACGATGAAACTCTCCTCACCCAGGTTTCTAAACTATTTATATGAGTTTCATAGTCCCTAGCACTCTTCGGTTCTTTTTACCAAAATCTCTACCAAATGATTATTGTACTTAGTTCCAGGCATCGCCGACAGTGGAGTTAGTGTTGTTGTTTTCCTATCCACTAACTATATCTTCACTGATAACTTCATTTCCTCTCCTTATGAATCTAACGTCAAGATTAAGGGATAATTGAGTTTAGATGAAAAATATGCTCGAAGTCAGGAAGGTTTACTGCAAGTTTGGAGAAAGGCGTTGTTTTCTTAGTGCAAAGCTATACAATGGGGCCCCTCAGTGGCACAGCAGTATGTCTGCGGTCTTATACTGCTAGATACCGAGTTTCGATACCTGTAGTGGGCAGAACACAGATATATATATACGATGGGTTTACCGCACTCTATCCACTATGGAATCGAACCTCGAATTTTAGCGTTGTAAAGTTCATAAGCTAGTGTTGACCCACTGGGAGGTACGTACTCGGCCTAATTATGCCTAATTTACACGGTTATACGATGGTGGATCGTACTCTTTTTATTTATTAAGTGAAATTTGAAATATAATCAAATGTGTGGGTACATATATCATAAATGATTATTTTGTGTACCAAATTGTTGAATTTTTGTAATTAAAAAAGAAGCGATGCCGCATGCTTTAATACACCGAACAGATTTACTCTATATAACGTTAAAATCCAGACATAGCTTTCTGATAATTTCCGTGATAGAATAATAATATTAAACGTTTTTATATCCACCACGTGTTTTAGACATTGATAGGTTTTGAACAGTATATTAAGATTATTATTCAAAGACGTTTTAAATATTTTGCTTACTGTGCACTAAAATAACTCACCACATAATTAAAAGCTGGCAGTATGTTTCGAAGCGGTACTTTAAAATAAAATTAAAATTTGCTTACAAAAAGGTATATTTGTAATACCTAGCTATGACTGGCCGTTTATGATTTAAAAAATGTACCATATTTATGTGTTATCTCATTCTAACCAATAAAGTATTCAGGAATATTTCATTCACAACAACAAAGAAAAAAGGTCTTGTAAACAAGTACAATATCGCTAAATCATTGGTTCCAGATTTATAACAACTATAGAATATTCTTTGGTAACTCGTTCATCACCATTAGCTGGTTACATTCTTAAGTAGGCATTGTCAATGCCCATTATTAATCCAAAGAAGCACGTGTGTATTCAAGATTCACAGTTTTGCACGATTATCAGATCGACTGAAACATTACACCACTAATACGTCAAAATAAATCATTTTTTACATCCAATAATTTTGCAGATTATGGTGCGAATACATCATTGTAAACTTCTCTATAAATTGTACCATTATCCAAGTATTTTAAGTTCGAAAAATTCAAAACGTTAATACAATGAACGTATCAAATTGTAACAAACCTTCTGAGAATATTAAAAAATCTCAGGTTAAACTAACGCAATTTCTGATGCGATTCGAAATATTCAAGGTTTACTCCGTTTTAACAGTAATATCTTACAGTATGCCAGTGTTACAGTAAACAACTGGGGTAATTTTGGTTCTAAGTAATAAAATATTAATGATTAAAGCTGAGAGATAAAACAAAAGATAGATCGGCCACTCTGGTGAGGACTGAGAAGTAAAAAAAAAAAAAAAAAAAAAAAAA